CGGGGGCGGGGGCGGGGGGGGGCGAGGCCGCCGCCGGGGCCCGCCCCCTCCACACACCCCCTCCCGCCACAGCAGGGGAAAGGGGACGCGCCGCCCAGGGGGCCGGGCTCCCGGGTCGCAGCCGCCAGGACCCGGAGGGCGGGGTGCTGTCCACCCCTCCTTCACCCCCCTCCCCCCCTGCGAGGCCCGGGATGGGGGCGCTGGGCCTGAAGCAAGGAGCTGGACATGAGCTTTGAGAATCATTTTATTGCACGCGTTTTGGGGAGTGGGAGTCCCCCGGGGTAGCAAGGAGGTAACACCACAGAGCAGGCCCCGTCCTAGCGGGCCGCTCCGGGGCCGGGGCCGGGGCCTGTGCCCGGAGGCACGATCTCTGGGATCTCTGGGCCTCCAGGTCGGGGCTGCAGCTGCTGCCTCTGCACTCGCTCCTGGAGCTTGGCTCTGTTGGCCCTGCGGGAGAGAGCACCTGGGTGGTCAGGACAGAGGATCCTGGAGGGTGATGTCAGGACAGTAAAGAGAAGGCAGGACAGAGCAGGGACGGACCTGGCCCGGGCCCGTGTGTCATTGTAGATGGCTGTGATGATCCGATCCTTTTCATCCATGAAGCTGCGGTGGATCTGCTCCAGCTTCCTGCAAGGGGGTTGCAATTAACCCTGGGTTTCCCAATCCCTGCTGTCCCCGAGATCCACCCCACCCCCACACCCACCACACCACTCTAGGGTCTCAAAGTTTTCCATCTGTGAGGACCTCTGCCTAACTGCCTGTGCTAGGCAGGGAGAGGGGCACCGAAGGGCTGGGGCTTATCCAGGGACCACTGATGACCCAGGTCCCTGGCTGTCTTGTTGAAGGTGGTGACAGCAGCTCCAAACACCAGGGTGTTCCTCACAGGAGACTAGAAAGAGCGTTACACCTAACTCCCATCACTGAACTAGGCAGTGGGCACCAGCCTTTAGGTATCTTTGTCATAGAACCTCAGTGTCTGTGCCATGCATAAAAGTGGCAGGGAGACAGCCGATTGCCAAACAAGGGAGGACAGTTGCTTGTGAGGCCCAGTTCCAATGCATTTCCTTTGAGTGCACGATTTTCGTTGGCTCCAGCACACCCTGGCAGCCAGCATCAAAGATTTACATTCAAATCACAAAACTCTGAAAATGACAACGTTCGCCTTCAGCGAGTGTAGAGCTGCCTTTGCCAAGTAAGGAGAGGCCCCGGAGACCTGTCTCGGGCAATTCTTAGCTGGAGAGGCACAGAAGTGCAGGCCACGGGGGTGGGGGGCTTGCGTGGCTGACCACACTGGGCTTCCCCAGCCCTCTGCCCTCTGCCCATCACCCCAGGGAGAAGGCAGGGATGTACCTGAAAGCAGCATAGTGCAGGCCCATGCCCGCCAACATGATCAGGAGGCAGTACCCCAGCACCCGCTGGTTGTGTTTGTGTTGCTGCTGCCTCGACTCTGGTCGCTGAGGCCTCACACTGTGAAACTGGGCCCAGTATTGGGCATTGGGGGATTCCCAGGAGCTGCTGGGAGGGAGAAGAAAGACAAGGTGGGGATGAGGCTCCCTGGGAGACGGGGGGCGGGGTGGGGGGGGACGAGGCCAGGGGCAAGACGACTGTACCTGTGTGCTTGAGCAGACCCAGGACGGGCTGTTCTTCCTGGAGACTTTGGAGAAGTGGCTGAGCAGAGCTGGCGATCATAGCTGAGGCGGCTCTCCTCCCGGCTGAGCACTCGGTATGCTTCGCTCAGCTCCACAAAGCGGCTATGCAGGGCCGGATTCCCGGGGTCCCGGTCAGGGTGCAGCTGGGGTGGGGCAGGACTCCCTTCAGGTCTTTTTCCACGTCCGTTCACAGAACCCGTCCCCACCATGTCCACCCACAAAGGCTCAGATCATTCCCAGAGGCCCTACCTGGACAGTAACCCTCACTCTCAGGGCTGCCCACCCGTCCAGAAGGCCAGAGAGTCAGGAAGCACAGACTCCTGCCCCCTCCCCTTGTTCAAGCCCTCCCCACCAGCTGCCTGGCTCTAGCAATATGCCCTGGTCCAAGCTTTCTCTAGAGCAGGCAGGTCAAAAGAAACAAGCCCAGCCCATCACACACAACCCCTGGCTCCTACCCCCAACCTTTCCTCCCAACGGGCCTAACCTCTGCCCTTGGGGCATCTCTCGCTCTCTATACATGCCAAGGGAATGTAGCACCATCCAGAGTGAGCCACTCAGCACCATTCCTGGGAATGTGAAGTGTACCCTATCTGGCTCAGACTTACACCCCCTCCTCCCCACCTAGGGCCACTGGTACCTCTTTGGACTTGGAGAAGAAAGCTCGTTTAACTTCTTCAGTGCTGGCACTAGGATGCACCCCTAACAGTTCATAGTAGTTCCTGGGGCCAGACCTGTGGAGATAGGCCAAAAACTGCAGGGGCTATGGAAACACAGAGAATATTCCTCTCCTCTGCCTCTCAGCCCTTCTGGGCCACACTCTTCAAGTCAGTAACCAGGAGGTGAGAAAGCTGAGGCTGCTGCCAAGGGAGATCTATCTCCAAATCATCCCTCCCTTTTTGAACACTTCAGGCATGGTGCAGATCATAACATCTCATAGTGTAGCCCTCAGATCCCTTGGCTCAGAACCACCCAGAAAGCCTGTTTAAAAAAAAACAGATTCCAGGGGCGCCTGGATGGCTTTGTCAGTTGAGCGTCCGACTTCGGCTCAGGTCATGATCTCATGGTCCGTGAGTTCGAGCCCCGCGTCGGGCTCTGTGCTGACAGCTCAGAGCCTGGAGCCTGTTTCGGATTCTGTGTCTCCCTCTCTCTCTGCCCCTGCTCTGCTTGCACTCTGACTCTCAAAAAGGGAATAAACTGTTAAAAACAATATATTAAAAAAAAAAACACAAAACAAAAACAGATCCCTCAGCCCCCACTTAATTCCTGCAGAACAGGGCCCAGAAATCTGTATTTTTGTAAGCCCCCCATCCCCGCCCCCAAGCCCCCAAGTGAGTTATGCCCAGTGATGCTTGACCACTAGAGTTGTGAAAAGAGCACTGAGCCTGGCTTGGACTCAAATTCCACTTTTTGCCACTTAACTCGCTTGACGATCTGAGGGATCGTCCCTTAATCTTTGATCTTGTGTCCTCAGTAGTGAAGGTGAGGGTTACCTGAAACAAGCCCGTACAGCACCTGACAGCAAGTACAGAGATCACAACTATCATAGTACCCAGGTCCAAGCCTAGAGCTGGGCAGGCCTTCCTCAACCCACTGGGTGACGGGGGCCATGCCCCCCGGCCCCCGACTCACCGCTGCCCGGTGGCCGCTGAGAAGAGCCGGGTGGGAGGGTTGCGGGGCCATAACCGGCACAGGCACAGGGACAGCATGGCGACAGGCAGACGGCTGGTGAAACGAGGCCACAAAGAGCAGTGCATTGAGACCAGGATGGGACCAGACGTCAAGCACTCCGGGGCCAAAGTGGAGGGTCCAGCCCCGTTTACTTGCGAAGGCAAACTGAAGCCGACTTGGGAGACCCAGGGGCAGTGGGGCCTCCTTTACTCAGGACCAGACCCCAGTGTCCTGAATCTGTCCCTGCTTCTGACCCGCGCGTCCTGGGCCCTCCCCCACACTGGTCTCGGCGTCCGGGACAACCAGTCCCGGACGCGGAGACCCTCTCCCCACCACCCTGGCGGGAGGAGGTGAAGGAGGGGCCACGCCAAGCCCCGCCTCCGCCGCGCTCACGGATTTCGCGGCCACGGCCGTCTCTGCGCCTATTCAGGCTCCACCTCCACGTTCTCATTGGCCTAGACACCCGGGCCACGCCCACCAAGCCGGAAGGCGCGGACTGCTTCGGAAGGCCCCACCCCCGCACGCCCATTGGCCTTTGGCGCCTCGGGCCCACCCAACGAGGTCGAGGCCCGCGGACTTGCGGAAAGAGGCCGGCGTTGCCGTCCTCAGTGAGGCTGTCCGCCCCGCTTTTGTGGCTTCGTCCCGGGAACATACCTGTTACTCTGCTCTGCAGCGAGGTGTCCTTTATAAAGCAGCTATAGGAGACCCGGACCCTCACCACAGCCTGGGCAAGGAGGCACGGCCCTCATCTCAGTTTGCAGACGGCAAAAACTGAGGCTGGGTTTCTTTGTTTTTGTTTTTCCCCCCAGGACACTCGCCCCGTCTCTCTCGCACACCCAGATCTCTCCCAGCGCCCGTTCCCTGTCTCATGAAAACAGCAGATGCCGATGGAATCCAAGAATAAAGTCCTTTATTGTCTTTCAAGTTGTGATAGGGCTGGGGACTAGGGCGACTCAGGTGGGACTTCCTGGACCTGGTTGTAGAGGAAAATAGCGCCTTTGGCCGAGGGGCAGAGCTCAGCCCACATTTCGGTCTCCTGCAACCTCCGCACGCTCTGTGGGGAGAAAGTAAGACTCCCTTACGTCCAGCCCTCGGGTCTCTTGCAGGGGCCGTGCCCAGTGTGCCTGAGCCTCAGAACCCTCTGCACTTCACCGTCCCTAGGGAGACACGTTAAGGAGGCTATAGAGGTTCCTGGACCTCTCTTGGGCTGAGGGCATCCCCAGTGAAGTCTTGTGGCCCTGGAGGAAAGCTCTAAGATTTGGCGGCTTCATCTGACCCAGCCCCGGGGAGACAGCCATAGATCACCAGGCCTACACAAGCCCCAACACCAGCAGCTTGTCCAAGCAAGATACATCTTGCTTCTTCACACCTGTGTTTCCACAAAGATGATTCCTGTAGATTCGTGGGCCTCAGCTCCCCCACTTACGTAGTGCTTCTTCACCTGCTCAGAAGTCAGGCTGCACCTGCACAAGGACATGAGAGGCTTGGGGAGTGCCCAGTCCCTGGCGGGTCCTTGTGGAACCCCAGCTGCCTCAGCCATTCCCCTCAGCCACCCACCTACCCGAGGACCCAGGACCCTGCACCCCAGAGCTCACTCACTGGACGTAGAACTCGGCACTGGCACGGCCGGCACTGGTCTCATTGCGGGCAACGCCCAACAGCCGTGGCTGGCTCAGGGTGTGCAGCGGCACATTCACCTGGGGCAGGCGGTCCACCAGTCAGTGCCCAGTGTCCCCATCCCTGCCCCTCTCAAGGGAGAACGTTACCCTTGTACAGCATTTTACAGCTTGCAGTTCAAGTGCCCAGAATCACAGAATGTCAGAGCCCGGGCATGTTCATGTTACAGATGGGAAAGCAGAACCTGAGCTATTGAACAACCAACGGCTCAAGGTCACCCAAGGCAAGTTCATTGTGACTGGGACTCTCATTTACTCCTCTCATCAACAAAAGGGGTGGTGGGTGGAAATACGCAAGACATTTAGCGTTGTTCTCCTTGTAAAGGGGAAGAGCTTGAGGCACGCAAAAACGAGGGCTAGAATTCCACTCGTGTCTAGCTGCAAAGCCAAGCTCTTTCCTCAATGCCAGATGCCTGCAGACCCTCCCGCCAGCCCACACCTGTGGAATTCTGGTATGTTCTACCCCCTCCCTTCTTGCCCACCTGTCAGGGCCACCCCTTCTCACTCACCTCGTCACAGATCTCCTGGAGAACACTGGAGAAGAGTTCGTGCACCACCAGCTCCCCAGGGAGGTCTTTGTGCAGGGGGCTGTCACCAGGGCACAGGGCCTGGGAGAGGTCAGGCTCAGCCCCTATCTCCATCTCTTCCCAGCCTGCCTCCCCACATATTTGCTGGCCCTGAGGGCCTGGTTAGGCACAGAGTTGAGTCTTGGTGACCCCCCGACCCAGGCCCACCTTTTCCAGATGGAAAACCAGAAATCCAGCTAGGTCCTCTGCCCCCCAGCCCCCACCCCTCCCCATCATTCCCTAGCTTCCCACAGGCCTGGGATAAGGGTCAGTGGGGAGGCTGAGGTGCTGCCCTGAGCAGACTTTCAGAGAAGCACTAGGCCAATCCCCCCTTTAAGGGATGAAGAAAACAAAGCTGAACTGAGTCTTTGTGCCTTTGCACCCAGGCCGGCATCTCACCTGAGGCTCAGGGTGCCCACCAGGCACGTCCACCAGTCCAGGTGCCTCAGCCACCTGCCGAGAGCGACGCAGGAAGACAAGGAAGTTATCTGCAGTGGCCAGTGTGGCGCCAACCCCCAGCGGGTCTGCCAGGTAGGCTTGCTTGTCACCCCAGTCAGTGGCCCCCTGCTGTCGCAGCCAGGCAGCTGAGCTGGCCCAGTTAGTGCCCAGGAAGTCTCGGTAGGAAGTAAGGCCCAGGCGCAGGAGCAGCTGTGGCCCCTGTGAGCCAGTGGGTGCCAGGATGGCTGAGTGCAGGCGGAACTTGGGGGCGTCAAAGAGCCAGGGCTGAGCCTGCAGCCGGCTCTCCCAGATGGCAGCGATGGCCTTGTCCCCTCCTGGTAGTGGGCGACGGTCATAGTCTGGGCTCAGCTCAGCCTGCACCTGCTCCTCCGGCAGCCCACCTGGGGGGCACTGCAGCAGCAGGGACACTTCAGGGTCCATAGTCTGGACGGGGCAGCTCTGGGGGGAGGACACAGCCGGGCTTGTCACCCTGAGAGCCCCACAGCGACCCTTGGCCCCGGCAGCTGGCCCCCTCTGCCACAGACGTCCCGAGGTGTACCCCCAGCCCTTCTGTACCCCCTTGACCACTCCCTGGGCAGTAAAGTGTCTTATCCTAAGAGCCCGGAGGTCCCTGCAGCCAGACATCCCTGGGACTCACGCGCATCACAACCACCCCGCGGTCCTGGGTCCAGCCACCCCTTTATGCCCATTTCTCCCAAACCCAGGATCCTGCCTTCAACCTCTGATGCGCCAGGACCCCCTCCGGGGTCCGGAAGCTCAAACGTCCAGCCGGCACTCACCGGCCGACGCGGCCCGCAGGCTCCTCCCCTTCGCCTGAAGCGGAAGTGCCCGCCCCCTTCTTCCTCGGCTTCTCATTGGCCGCTCCCTGGCCCGGGGCCCTCGGGGTCGGCAGCTCGGCCACCACCGGAGTTGGTGAGCCTGCTAGTCTCTGTCTTCCTCCTCCCAGCTCTGTCTGGGCCAGCTCAGAAGCTTCCGCCCCGTTAGCCTGAACGCCCGGCCCCCTCCTCAGGCCCGCTTTGCGGGGCAGACCCGCGAGCCTGGAGCGCGGCGGCTCCTTTTCGCCCGGGATCCGTGGCGGACATAGTGTGACCTTGGGCAAATGTTGCTTGCCGGGCCTCAGTTTCCCTATTTGCAGGAGGGAGTTGGGGGTGGGAAGTGAATTTAATGAGCTGAATGCCCCTGTCCCAGCTCTCACATCCTGAGGCTTTGTGACTTGCTGGGCAGGGTGGGGACATGAAAGGGTCCTTAACAGTCCCCACATTATCACTGTACCCAGCAGGTCTTAGCCATGAACTCCCCTGGAGGAAGGAGGCAGGAAGCTGCAGGACCCAGGGGTAGAAGGGCTCACAGACCCCGGGAACAGGTGCGCCCCCTCCACCCTCACCACCCCACCCCACCCCCTTTCTTGGTGGGAGGGTAAAGGAGGAGGACTCAGCCCTGGCTCCCTGGAATATGCTGGGGGGATGGGAGTGGGCGCTGATGGGTCATACTCTTCCCAGAGAGCACAGGGATTCCTCTCCCTCTGGTCTCCCTCTGCAGTGGGTCACTCAGACTTCAGGGTGGGCAGCAGGGCAGGAGCACTACAGGGACCAGGGGCCACCTCTGGGCTCTTACAGGACCGAGATGTGCAACTGTCCAAGGCTTTGTCCTACGCTCTGCGTCACGGGGCCCTGAAGCTGGGGCTTCCCATGAGGGCTGGTAAGTGAGAGTCTTAAAAGACTGGGGTGAGGAGTGGTTGGAGGGAGGGAGCAGTATGAGCCTATCTGTGGCTGTCCTACCCCATGGCCCTATGGGGACGGTACAGAGGGCACATCCTCTCCATTTTCAGGGAACCCCGAGGCCCAGAGCCCACTATCATGTCTGGAGCAAACTGGGAGAGGACCCTCTGTCCAGGCCATGCCTGGTGATACCTGTGGTGCAGTGGCCCAGTAAACACTTACCCCAGGAGTGGGCACTGGGGGGTATTGAAGTAACTGGTGTTTACTGAGTACCCACTCTGGGAAGGGTACTATGCTAAAAAGGGTCATTTTATCTTTGTGACCCTCCATGAGGCAGATCCCATTCCCATGTAAGTGGAGGAAACTGAGGCCCAGAAAGGGCCGCCCATTCGCCTGAAGCGGAAGCGCCCGCCCCCTTCTTTCTCGGCTTCTCATTGGCCGCTCCCTGTGCCCAGGGCCCTCAGGGTCGGCTGCTCGGCCACCACTGGAGTTGGTGAGCCTGCTAGTCTGTCTTCCTCTTCCCAGCTCTGTCTTGGCCTGCTCAGAAGCTTCCGCCCCGTTAGCCTGAACGCCCGGCCCCCTCCTCAGGCCCGCTTTGCGGGGCAGACCCGCGAGCCTGGAGCGCGGCGGCTCCTTTTCCCCCGGGGAGCCGTGGCGGACACAGTGTGACCTTGGGCAAATCTTGCTTCTCGGGCCTCAGTTTCCCTATCTGCGCCAGAAGGTCACACAGATGAGCCCCTGTGACTCTCCCCCCCCCCCCCCCCCCCCAGCCAGGCCCAGGCTCTGTTCTGGTTGCCTGGAGTTCCCCCTCTTAACTTTGACCCAGGCCTGAGCACCCTGCCTGTCTGCAGATGGCTTCGTGCCCCTGGATGCCCTCCTCCAGCTGCCCCAGTTCTGCGGCTTCTCAGCTGAGGATGTTCGGCGCGTGGTGGACACCAACCAGAAACAGCGGTTCGCCCTGCAGCCAGGGGACCCCAGCACTGGCCCTCTCATCCGGGCCAATCAGGGTCACTCCCTGCAGGTGGGGGCTTAAGGGGACACGTGGGAGAGCCAGGTGGGACCCCTGCCTGTGAGGGGGGTCTCACTGCTGTCTGTTCCCCCACTCGTCCCAGGTACCTGAGTTGGAGCTGATGCCCCTGGAGACCCCCCAGGCCCTGCCCCTGACGCTTGTCCATGGCACATTCTGGCGACACTGGCCTTCCATCCTGCTCAAGGGCCTGTCCTGCCGGGGAAGGACCCATATCCACCTGGCCCCAGGACTGCCTGGGGACCCCGGTGTCATCAGTGGTCAGTGCCCCTCCCCAGCTACTCCCACCCACTTTCTCCTACCAGGTCCCTCTCCCAAGGATCAAGCTACCTCCAGGCATAGCTCCTCTTGTCCGAGGCCACTATATACTCTGCGTGGTGCAGTAACCCCTTCCCCGCACCGAGCCCGGGACCTCCCACTGAGCCTGCCCAAGTTTGGAGACTGCCACCCCGAGCGCCCGAGGTCCCAGCTCCAATTGTCTCCACAGGCATTCGGCCAAATTGCGAAGTGGCCGTGTTCATCGATGGGCCCCTGGCCCTGGCAGGTGAGTCTTGACACAGCAGGGACTGCCCTAGGGCTTCAGAGAAGGCATGAGTCACATCTCCGGCCTTGTCTGCAGACGGGGTCCCCTTCTTCCGCTCTGCCAACGGAGTGATCCTGACTCCGGGAAACGCCGATGGCTTCCTGCTTCCCAAGTACTTCAAGGAGGCCCTGCAGCTACGCCCTACCCGTGAGAACCACCACCCTACGCCCTCCTGTGCCCTCTGCCCTCTCCCCTTTGCCAGCTCCCAGCCCCAGGCTGACTGAGGTCTCCCTTTCCCTCACCAACCCTTGTCTCTCTCAGGAAAGTCCCTGTCCTTGGCTGGTGATGAAGAGACCGAGTGTCAGAGTGGCCCCAAGCACAGCGCCAGAGGAAAAAGGATCACCCAACAATAAAATATTTATTTAAAAAAAAAAAAAAAAAAAAGGAATGTAGAAAGATGACAAAACAGAAATTCCAGTTGGAAACCATGAATTATCCTGTAGCTACAGCCGGGCTTCTTGATGTGCTCAGGACTACAGCTAGGTCGGGGGTGTTGGTCTCGGCCACTCGGACAAGGAGAGGGTGGGCATCGTACGAGCTCATAGCCCACCCTCTCTAGCCCCCGGGGGATGGCAGAGTCTGGTCCAGTTAGGTCCCCGGTCTACACGAAGCCAGTTGACAGCAGGGGAGTGTGCCCAGCTCAGTGCCTGTCTGGAGAGGGTGTGGGCTTAGGAGTGGCCAGAGCAGGTAGTGAGCAAAGTGGGGACAATAAGACAGGCCTCAGAAGGCCTCGTGGCCTCCTGTGAGCTGCAGGAAGAGGTCCTCGTCCAGTTCTTCCCCGCGGGCCCGCTCCCTTGTCGACAGGAAAATGTAGCCCCCGATGTACTCGTGCACAATGCGGCAGCTGGCAGACACGCAGCTGAAAGCCACGTTGATGTGCTCGTCAAACTCGATGGCGACCTGCAGAGTGAGCGGTCAGAGGGGCTGGTGGGGGTAAGAGAGCAGCCTCTGCCCTGCCCTGGCTGGGTCTGGCCCCACCCCTGGCCGTGCCCTGCTTCCCCCCCCCCCCTCGTCCTCACTCCTGGCCCACCTGCCGGATGTCCCAGTTGACGTTCCACTGGCGCATGTTGCTGAAGCGCCAGGTCTTGACCACGTCGCCCACGGCCAAGTCGATGCGGATCAGTCTGTTGTTGGCGATGCCCAGGATCTCATCCTTCCTGCTGCCCTTGAACCTAGTTCCCCGGGGAGGACAGAGTGTGAGCAAGAGCCCTGCCCTGCACGGGCCCCAGAGCCCCCCCAGATAGCCCGGTGCCGTGCTCCGGAGCACGCTGTGCTCCTGTCATTTAGGTTCTCTGAGCCTCGAGTTCCTCTTCTGGAAGACGAGGGTTAACTGATCTAATCGTTATACTAGCATTCTAGGCAGCATCAGGCAAAGTGTCCAGGCCTTTCGGTAACGACTTTTGTGGGTACCGTCGTCATCTGTTGCCTGGCTGTCTCTGCAGGCCAGGAAAACGGGCAGAGGGCACTCGGTGTCATAGCAGCGGACCGTGGCCTCGAGAGGGACCGGGCTGCGGCAGAGCTGGGACAGGAGCTGGGACTCCTGCCCTCCTGGCCTGGTCTCTTGCTCTGGTGTCTGCTGCGGGGGCGCCGGAGGGCAGGGCACCCAGGGGGCGCCCGCACAGAGCAGGAAGGGAGGCTTCGGGGGTGCCCTCTCCAGGCAGGAGGGGAGGGCAGAGGGAGGCTGGGGCGGGGCCCATACCTGACCACGACATAGGAGATGCCAAAGTCAGGCAGGGACTGCCAGGCCTGGATGAAGCGCAGCTGGGCCTCGGACAGCGAAAGTTGGGCCACGTTCTGGTGGGCTTCCAGGATCCGTGGGGTGAGCTGCGGGACCACATTGGTGAGGGGCGGCCCCGAAGTCCCTGAGACCCCCTGCCTGTCCCCATCAGGGAGACCGGATGCTGAGCCTGGAGCAGGGGCGGGGCCCAGCGTGGGGCCTCCACTGGGCGCCCTCGCACCACTCAGCAGACAGGTGCTGAGCCAGGCCCTGAGGTGGACTCGGGCAGCCGGGCCGTGACCCCTCCCAGGGGGTGGGGACCAGCGTGCTCCGTCTCAAGGACAAGGGTAGGAGAAGGAACGAGTGAGCATGTGGCTTTCTAGAGGAAGGCTCTGTGGAGATCCAGGGGCCAAGGGTGGCCAGGTAAAAGCCGTGGTCGTTCCCCCCACCCACTTCCTTCGGCACCTGCTTGGCCTTGAACTTCCGCTGGAAGCGCGGGGCAACAAGGCCGTAGGGGTTGAGGCCCTCGGCAGAGGCCTCAGGGCCCCGGGGGTGGTTGCCTGAGCCCCCGCCACCCGTCCGCTGCAGGCTGAGGAAGGCCAGGATGGCCTGCACCTCGCTGGCGTAGCTGCTGTCTGCCATGGTGCGACCCTTAGAGGCCAGTCGGCAGCCGGCCATCCAGTGGGCGTACTGCTTCTCCTGGGGTGCGAGGAACGGGGGAGGGTGGTGAGGGGCTCGCCGGGCTCTGGTTCGCCGCCCCCCCCCCCCCGGCCCTGTCCCCAGCCCCACCCCGGCTTCGGCCCGGGGCTGACCCCTGCCAGACCCTCACTTACATCCTGGCACCGCACGTGGATCTCACTCATGCCCTCGGGGGAGGGTACTAGGAGTTTGATGCAGAACTTCTGGCCGGAGACATTGACATCGGGGACTACCTCACAGCCTAGAGGGAGACGAAGGGGTGGGTAGGAGGCTGGGGGCGGGGGGCCCTGCCTGGAGAGGTCCCTGGGAGAATGCCGGCCCAGCACAGTGCCTCAAGACAGAGGGTATCTTCCCTCTACCCCGAGGGGGAAACTGAGGTGGGCCAGGTGGGCCCCCAGCCAGCTCCTGCCTTTGTCCCCGTCCTGGCCCGGCGGCCCTCACTCACCCTTGAGGTTGAGCTGCTGAATGGGGTCCCCCGGGGCCTCCTCCTGGCTCTTGTAGTAGGACAGCGTGGTCTCCTTGAACACCACCCAGTGCTGGCGGTACCCTTTTAGGGTCAGCTTCCGGGGCCTGAGGGTGAGGCAGGTGTGTGACAGGCTGTGTGCTCTGTCTCCATACTGGGCCCCTCCAGTGGCGCTGCCGATCCTGGGCCCGAACTCACCGGAAGATCCGGAGATGGTCCTTGAGCTCTGGGATGGTGGTGAGGTTGTCCTGGGGGGGGAAGAGGAGTCAGAGGAGGGCCAGGTCTCCGCACGCGACCTGACCCCGACGCCAGCCCGACCCGGGCTCCTCCTCACCAGCACGTCTGTGGGCGCCGACCCCTCCAGCTTCACCTCCAGGTTGTTCAGGGCCGCGTCCAGGTCGTCCAGCCCGGGGTCTGCGGCGGCGGCGGGTTCGCCCGCCTCCCCACTCTGGGACAGCTTGTTGATGTGGTACTGGGTGGGGCACATGGCCAGGGAGGGCTGGGTGGGCAGCCCAGGAGCCCACAGGGCCCTAAGCGGGGCGTCCCGAAGACGGAGCCCCACCCCGGAAGACCCTCCCTGCCCTGGGTCTGGCCCGCGCCCCGGACCCCCAGGTCCCCTGGCCCGCCAGGCACCTGCAGGGCTGCAAACACCATCATCTCCTCCTCGGTGCAGTCGGTCTCCTCCAACAGCAGGTCCCACCGCGCCTGCTCGTACAGCTGGGTCAGCCGCACCGGGTCCGTCTGCGGCAGGGGTCGGGGAGGCTGGGTTGGTCAGGTGCCAAGTGCCCCCGGCACCCTGTGCGCCCGGACCCCTTGAGCCTCAGCCTCCAGCCTTGCCCCCTGCACAGTGCCAAGTTCGTCTAGCGGCCCCGCACGGGCAGCAGACCCCCAACTCCAGCCGTATGGCCTGCCCGGGCAAGTGGCACCGATCTCTCTGTAAAGCTTCCCGGACCAACGTCGACTGCATGTCTGTTGCGTGCCCGTGGGGGCAGAAGGGGGACCGAGTAAACCAATCAATGAATGAATAAGGTGATTCAAGACTTCGATAAAAGCAATCAAGGAAGTAGCTTCCATGGGGCCTTTCACTCATGCCCTTGGACAAGGGCACCACGAGGACGATGGCGATGACAGAGGATGGAACTGGGATGCATGGAGCTCCTTGTGAGGAAGCATTCAGGGGAGTTGTCCTTGAGGAATGTCGGACTGCCCTGTGGCCTGAAGGATGGCCATGGGCCACTGACGGGAAGAGTGATAGGAAGAACCTTCCAGAAAGAAGGAACAGGGACTGCAAAGCTCACGGGTCAGAAGACCAAGCCCACGGTCCCCCTGCAACGCGCCACAACTGACAGCAAAGGCGTAAAAAGGGTCAACCCAAAGGGACGAAGGAAGCGGGAATCCTTGCAGGTGAGGCATGCGGACGACATTTTGGAAGATGGAAAGCAGAAACGTGGACCGGAACTGAGTTACGGGGAGAGAGAGAGAGCCGGGATTGCTTACCCGTCTCCCCTCTCCTCTTCTGCGGTAGAGGCACTAATGAGTTCTGAAAATAGGCAGAAAACAAACAGCAAAAAGAACACAGATCTGGACAGAGGCATCCAGGGCACGTGGCGGCCCCTGACAGGCTCCCCACCGGGATCCTCCGGCCGAGAGGTGAGGGTGGGCTGCCGTGAGGACGGCAGAAGGGGTCTGAAGGGAGCCAGTGCCCCCACTCCCTGCAGCCCAGCGACAGCCAGGCACCTGGCAGAGGAGAGATTTACTCTCTGGCGATGGTGAGCCAGAGACAGTCTAGGCACAGCTGGGCGAGGGACGGCACTGTGCTAGAAACAGATGAAGAAAGTTGACGTTCTGAAAGGTGGGACTCCCCCAAGTCCCACGGTCGCCTAAGACATTGGCAGTGAGCCTTCTGTTCCCAGTCGGGAGATCAGAGGGTTCACTGCTGAGAAACTGACCGGCCAAAGAGAAACCCCTTACAAAAAATGGCATCCTTACCCCAGCGCCCCCAGGAAGCCCCCAGAGTGCCAAGCTCTATTCACCCGCTCAGGGTTTTCAGGGGCTTCCGGGAGCCTTGCCTCTCACCACGAAAAGGCAGGCAGGGATCACCCGCGTGTAAGGGAAGCTGCTGACGTCAACCACAGGGACCAAGATGAACAGCAGAGAAAGAGCTTAGAGGAAATGGAATCAGTAGGGAGCAGAAGAAAACTTCAACCAGTCAAAATCCTTAGAAAGACAAAATGCTGCGCTCCTAAAACAAGAACAGGATGCTGTGTTTAAAAGGAGCATAATTATAAAGGTTTAGTAATTAAGACTGCAACCCAGCTGGAATTGATATTTGTATGTGGATATTTGTTTGTTTGTTTTTAACATGGGTACCCTGGGGCGCCTGGGTGACTCAGTCGGTTAAGCATCTGACTCTTGATTTCAGCTCAGGTCATGATCTAGTGGTCATGAGATAGAGACCTGTGTTGGGCTCAGCATTGGATGTGG